ACATTAATAAGTTGTTTTGTGCGAGTGGCCGGATTGGTGAGGGTTGACGCTCGACTTGTTGCATTCCCTTTGATCACTCAAAAGGCGGCCAAACCAATGTGTTGATGTTCACTTTTCTTGAATAACGTCCCGAAAAATTCACCAGCAGATGACCAGTGAGCAAAGCCACGGAAGGGAGTGACCCCTTCAACCAACCTTACACTTAGTTACAGTACGCAGTGGTAGGGAAAACAGCCGAAGCATGCATTTCATACGGTAATCGATTTTTGACTGACCGGTTACACATTCGTTCACGTGACATCTCACTTGGGTCGATGACAAAACAGGAGTTCAAGCTGCGGTGAAAAGCGTTAATTAATAACGGAAGCTTTGACGATGACAGGAAATGAATTCATCCCATGTTCGAATTTTTCACCGTCGTTGTCACTGGTCCCCTCAGGACGGTCGTTCGTTGACTTCGCGAGGTAAACTGCCGGACTCAGCTTTGGGTTTGTTGGAAGGGTCTCTAGGGAAGCTTAGCGCGTCGTCCTTCGTGCCACTTGGGAGCTTAACCTCACAAATGACGAGTGACGCAGGAGATCGATTTCTCGTCACAGCGTGTTGCTGGTTTCTTCAGGTGAACTCGGTGTTAGACACGAGACCGGTGTCGCCAAGGCTACGATGCATAGGCCACTAATGAATGAAGACAAGCGGTCGCTGACTTCCTATAAGTTGGTTTATTACCTGATGAATTTTCATCAGGTCGTTTATTTTATTCGATTAAATTTAGCGTGCTTCGCCTAATCTATTTTATACAATGTTCATGAGTGAATGATTGAAATATTTCATTTGGTTATTCCCTGAGAATCATTTAAAATGCGAGGTCCACGAACAGGTTAGTTTATTTTTTGAGGAAAGAAGCCGTAGAGTAGAAAGAGGAAGAACTTCATTCGTTTAGACAAACACATTCACCATCTGAATGCAGCAGCATTTCCGTAGTGCAGGTTACAAAGTATATGTGCAAAGTACCTTAACCCCTGGAATGGAGCGTGGCAGCTGGACGCTTTGTTCAGTGACACGCTTTAACTCCTCCGATTCTGTAATGTCCTAGAAAGAAAGGGTAACATTGATTTGTGACAATGCTTGATGGGCGTTGGAAGGTCAGTGAACATGCTTCTGGTGTCCAAGTGTACAGTGAAATAACACTCATTGCAGTCTTATATGTAAATGATGACTGCCATCCCCTCAGCAATCACGCATCAAGTCAGGTAGCTGCACAGAGCATAGCTGGGTCGAAACGGTATCAGCTATGTGATGTCATTGATGTGGGAAAAACGTCAGATACTTTACACAGTGTGAGGAAGTCCTGTCGTTGCAGAAAAGTGAATATCAGTGGACATGAATGATCTGCGGTATCACACAATCGAGGTGAACCACCTCGCTGGAAGGTTACAACCACAATTTTAGAGCTCTGGTAGTTAGAAGATCTGATCCTCTACACACTCATCTTAATAAGTTAAAGAATTCAGATTGGCAGCTAAAGAGGAATCAGTCATTTTCGAGAAGTGAGGTATCAGAATGCTTTGTTACGCGTTTTGTTACTCAGTTAGCTTCAAGGATGACGGCATGATAGGGTGTATTGACAGAGGACCCAAGCGATTGCTTGGAAAGAACTGTGAAAATGATAGGTTCGAATACGCCCAAAAGGGAATCTTTGTCTCATCAGTGAGTTCCCTTGAACAAGGAATTAACTCCACAATGCTTTGGCCCATCCAGCTGGGAAACGGCTTGCAAGTCAATGATTTAAGAAAAATAGGAACAGCATAGCATTCTCGTCTGATAATGCTAAAACGGGTGAGGTTGTCGGTAATGCTGTCAGATGCGAGTGCCTCTTGTGACTGCATTTCGTCTTGACCAACTTGATAGTTCACAATTTAGTGTAATAATCTGCACAATGGGTAACCCCAATTTCGGCCATTTGGGATGGTGCACCGCCAATAGATTTATTGAACTGTCTAGCGGTGGCAAATAACGAACGCCAGTCATCTTTCAAATGGATGATGATATAAATTCACAAATTATGAGAATATTTTAACTGGATTTCCCAGATCTTAACAACCTAAGTGGTGGATGGATACTATATTCCCTTAGTTTACTCACATTGTGATGTAAATTTCATCCGGATCTTATGATTACGCTGCTAACCTGTCTTCGTTCATTCTTCAATGGGTAAAAATCCTGATGAGAAGATGTTTTCATACTTAACTCACGACTTGATCGTTGTTCACAATCTCCCCTCTGTTTAATCACAAACAGACAGCGTTCACTACATCAATACATTTACCTTAACATGATGGGAACTTTGCAGCAATCCAAAGCAGGTTCTTTGACAGGTACAGAAAAGCACTTTCTCGTTGCTAATGATTCAGGAGTGGCTTTGTCAGTGTCAGAAAAGTGAAAATATAAATTTGAAAATAACTTCCCATAAAAATAATACTTGACATGGATTATGTTATCTACCAGAGAGTAATATCTTTGGAAGCTCACAACTTTAGTCGGTGCGTTAGAAGAGACACAAGTGGAATCCTTTCCTAAGTATCAGCTCCTTTCCAGCATGAACATTTAAACAGTTGTTTGCTGCTTTCTTGTGAATGTTTTGGGAAGAGTGTCGCCAGCTTACCATTTTCAAGAAAATTTCCATGGCCTGTTGTCGTGCCAAGCGAGAGCACTTATAATAACTCTATGGAAAAAAAAGATGACTAAACTGCTTTACAATTTGATGAAGCCAGCTGCGCAGTAAATGCTTCAGAAGTCTCCTAGATGTTTGATGCCTAAAACCTTTCTTGGCAGGCACCGTAATTGTCAACATAATCGAATTAGTATTGTCTCACCAAAACTAAGCGTGCCGAGTCCAGCCTTTGGTCTCAGTCTGAGAAAGAAGCATACGAAATCCTTGACAGGGCTAAGGACGCAGAGTCCACTTTTCTCAGCCGCACTGGCTATCGCGAGTCCCAAACTGGGCAGATAAGAAAGTTCTAGTGAAGTTTCTTCAATCGAATCGCATGCTTTGTGGATTTTTCCTTGTTACATAGGAGGTAAAGTTCGGCATTCGGCTTCGTTATCGACGCAATGGGGATGATACAAAAACCCTATACCCTTTTGTCATTCTTATCTGTCGCAACTGACGACATACAGCAAAACAATTGAGTTGAATAAAGCAAGTTTCCTACACAGACTTTCATTGGAAATATTTATATGAAGAGAGGACGAACAGTTATGAACCTCAAGCAAGGTGTGGAAGAGTCTTACCTAGCGACATCGTTGCACGTGTTTATACCGGCTCAGCTCACGCAGAACACATCCCTACATCGTTTAGAGCAGCTGGAGATGGAGAGGTCAGAATGCCCGGGGATAAAACAAATAATGTACAAGTTTAAGTAGTGCAGCGCAAGTGGTTCAGCACTAGCAACCAAACTGAGTTAATTGTATATACAGTTCCATCTTTATGAATTATGTTGCTGAAACATCATTAAATGACCTAGTTCACCACAAGGATGTGCTTTGCCACCGAC